AGCTTCATGCTGAGTTTTTATACCAATTTGAATCGAGGAGAAAGTGCAAGTGTAAGCCTTCATAAAGCCATGAAAGAGATAAGAAATGAAGGGTACAGTGAACCCAGGTACTGGGCTCCTTTCTTTCTTATTGGTGATGATGTCACTTTACGGGACAAAAACTAATGTAAGACTGTAAGCATATCAAGAAATGTGTCTTGCAAGGTGTCTGCAAATTCATTACTACTGAATGACAATAATAAGCACAGGAATATCAATCTGTGTCTTGACTGTAAAAGATAAAAATGAATTTCACTATTTTAGCTTAGAACATGAGAACAGCATGAACTATTGTAGCAATTTTATTTTGTAGAAATAATTCATTTCTGCATTAATGGAACATTTTTTGAATAAGTGTTTCTTTATCTTCATTTGTCCTTTCACTATTTATGTTTTGTCATGTTTTGTCATGTCTTTTTCACGACAAGGTGCTGTCAAATCTTTGAACAGTTAGCAATAATTATTAATAAGTGCAGAGTGGCTACCAAAAACGCATTGTAGTGATTTTTTTTCATTTATAATTGTAGGTATAGAAAAGAGTAACTAATAATTGCAGATTTATAATTATTAATTACTCAGTTTATAATGTTTTGATTTAGAGTAGTATACCATACATCAGGTTGCATTTTGTTTGATGGTTTGTGAGACGTCGTGCATGTTAAATACTAGAAAATTGGTCATGTAAATGGTATAAAATATATTAGCAGGGCTTCGTCGGGCGTACATTTGTGACGATAAAATCGTACGTCGACTGACCCTTTTAGCAAGGATGCATTAAAAATGATGCACTTTCAGAAATTATATGGAGGGCAAATTTCAAAACTGAAACATTTTCGTTTTGTGACGTCATCACTTAAACAAAATGCTAGTTTGCATATTGCAAGACAAAAAATCGTGATATTTGATCGCTGCTATCGCACTACCAGTGTAAAATCCAGAAATATTTTTCTACATAGGTTTATATTGATATTTCAGCCCTATTCAAGGTGTTTGGTAAACATTGGAGAATGACCACATGGGGAAAAATGTGTTTGGAAATTTCAACTCAAACCGGGTTATGAAAACCGGCCCAACAAAAATCATTTTTACTCCCCGTTGAAAATACAACTCCTTAAGGCTGATTTACACGGTACGATGTGTCGCGCGCGACTTGTAGTATACGATTTTCCTACTCCAAGTCGTAGGATTTTAAGCAGTGGTTCAAAATCCTAGTCGTAGGTTGCGTACGACTGTGTTGTAGACAAGTCGTAGGGACATTTACACTGAGCGATTCAAGTCGTATACTACAAATCGCACGAGACAATCGTGCCGTGTAAATCAGCCTTAAATAGGATTTTTTTTTTTTTTTTTGATTATGTAAAACAATTGCTCGAAAAAGTATTTAAGTAACAATGCGCTAAAGAACTAGGGAACTCTCTATTGTTCTGCGGCAGCAAGTTCCCCATGTACGAATGTCTTAGTTTTCACACTGATTATGTATCCATCTGTGGGTAACACATTTTTGRAATAAAATGTGGATAAACTCTATTTTTGAACAAAGTTTCTTTTGTATTAAAAGCTCTTATCCAATCATAAGCACTCAAAACAATAACCAAAAGATGCTTCTAATTTGCTATGTTCCCCACGTCGAATTGCCTTAATATTAAAGCTAAAAAAAGCTTTCATGAAAGCGAAAACAGACATTAAATAAAATATTAGAAAATTCGCTAACTTGTGAAATTATAGCAGATTTTCATGTTTTAACCAATAGGATGGATGGATTATACAATGCGCAATTAGCACCTTCTTGCATTCCTGTGCCGTTTGCTTCCCTAGTTCTTACTCGGGGCATTACTTAAATTGATTTGACGAAGTATTAACTATTAAAAAGTTGCAAGTTTTAGCGGTCTCATATGCTATTTTAGACCAAATTTTGCTTACAAACTCAAATTTCTCAACATAGATAAAAAAACCGATTTGATCACGTTTCACAACTGTACTGTCACAACTAAATGTGGCCGGCCTATGTTGGGGTCCCTGTGGTAGACAAGACGATGAGAGACTGAAAACAGATTATGCTCTCGAGTGAAAGAATATTTTCTCGTCTGCAAATGCTATTTATCCACTGTTTGGTAAGTTTATTTCGTCATTTCTTAGCAGTAGATAAGTTTGTTATCGATTTATTTTAAAGTTATTGTTGTTTGCTTTGAGAACTTGCTGTTGTATAACGTGTGCTCTCTACCTGCTCTACCTTTCTATCAGTCGTATGCACTGAAAGTCGTACAGTTTTGAATTTTGTTTGTACTTTTTAACTCGAAGATTGCGAAGCAATCGAAGAGTTATAGGAGGGAGATAGATGATGGTGTGTGAGGTGAGATGGACTAGTTAATAGGTCACTTATTTTTTCTGTAAACATACGGGCATTTAGAAATTCGTAACCAAGATGGCCAGGTGTTTTGATTTTAAACACGCAAAATGTGATTTTTGAGGTCTGGACGTTCTTGTATAAGCTTCTTACCAATTAATCTGTTGATTTCAGAAGTCGTTTTAGGAGATATCGTGTCAATATGGCTCATAGATACAGCATTAATTCTATTACGATGATTTCAAGGATTATTCCGATCCATGTCGATCAGTATTTAGTGCTCATCGATTCATATAAACTTTATCCTTCGTAAAAAATCGATGCACGGACAACACTACAAGTAAGAACGCAAAATATAAATTTTAACGGTCAGCATTCAAAGTGAAAGTATCATCACTTCAAACTATGAAATTGTGACGATGTTGATAATTCATTGTCGATATCGTTAAGGTGTTACGGATGCATATAAATTATTAAATTCGAAATTTCAAGTTCAATATTTTTATTCTATAGATTTTTGTCGAAATTAGACCACATCTAAACAAAGTCTGAGGCTTCATACATGCCAGATTTATGTCGGTCCACGGTATACTTGTCTAACAATCTTCGCGTTGTGTCGCCATTGGCGGCTTGATTATCAAATCGTCACCCCTTGCCTGGATCTCCTTCCCCCTTAAACAAGAATTTTTTGTACACTCATTTTGATTGTGCACACCTGAATTGAATATGGATGTGAATAGACCAAATCAGGGTTAATATTTCCGACATAATTCATCGCCTAAAATTAGTAAGCCTGCCAAATTTAAAGGTGATGTGTCAAAACATGAGAAGATGCAGCTCTGCAAAGTTGCGAAATTTTACAGTGAAATGTATGAGAGGGTGCAAAATACATTCTCTGTTAAAATTCGCGACTTTGCAGAGCTGCATCTTCTCATGTTTTGACACATCACCTTCAAATTTGTCAGGCTTACTAATTTTAGGCTGTTCTGTCCAGTGGAGGCGATAAATTTTCGTTAACTGGTTTGTGTCAAATGGCAGAAATAACCTTGGTTTGGTCTATTGAATATGGATTAAGCAGTTGTTGCTTTTACAAGGTTATTTATGTAGCCTGAATCCAGTAATCTAAAACTGTTCTCATATAATATAGGTCATTTGTGTCTCAGGCTCCTGACTGCGATGAGTCCAATATGATGTCACAAAACACTGAATCAGAACTTGATAAAATGGTGCAAGCCTTGTCCCTTGGCCTCTCAAATAAGAAATCCTGTCAACACAAAGAAGCCCTCAAACATTTCAACAAAGCCCTAAGAATTGCACAAA